CTGCGTGTCGCATCAGCGTTCGGATCTCGATTACATAATCCTTGAAGCCCTCTCCCTCACGTTGGTAACGAGCTCTGATGTCGTCTTCTAATCGTCGAAAATAATGTGGTGGTAAGAAAAAGTCCAAGAACTCCCGCCGGAATACCGGCCAAGTGGCTCCCTGCAGTTGGCTGGTCCTAAACCACCGAGAGGCTCTGTCTGTAAGAGTTTCTGTCATAACTCTTGGCAGTTGGGCTAAGGGAAGGGCGTACGATGTAGCCCTCTCCTCCAGCTCCTCTAGGAACCCCAACGGATCGGTATGGCCATTGAATTTGAGTCCCCATTTTCGGACTTGCTCTGCTATGACACCGTGTGCTGTGGCCCGGCCAAAATTTCCACCCCAAGCCATTTCGTTCTCCCGTGTAACATTACATTTGGTATTATTACGGCCGGTGGTTCCCTCCGTAGAAATTGCTCGTTCGTGGTCGACAGGGCTCCCACCTCTAGGTGGATTGGAATTGGATTGACCTGGGGTCTAGGTCGACTTCCTCTACCCTTTTCACGTCGTCGTTCACTCCCCCATTCGCGAATCCGGCTTCTAATCGGACCAATCGGGCCCTTTGGGATGGAGAGAGCTCACCTGCTTTGACGATTTCTGCGAAACGCCTTCTCATCTCGTCCACCTTGCCTGTGTCGTCGAATCCGAATTCCTGTGCGAAGCTGAGTAATTCGTCCTTTCTTAGCGTATAGATCCAACGAGTCCCTATACGACTGCCTGGCGAACCCATATTAGTTTTCTTTCCTTGTTCGTTTTCTGCCATTGTATTATATCTGGTGTGCTCCCTTTACACTTCTTGTCAGCAATCCGATCCTGATCGACGTTCTTACTCCTTAACTATTTTAGCCAGCCTCACACTGTACGGGTCTTTACTCCGCTTGGTGTTTTTGTTGCTGATCGATCGTGATCAGCCCCACATTTGTCCCTGCTCGGGCGCCATTTGTAAGGATGTTTTCCCAGCCAGGATATGCTCAGGGGTTGGCTAGGGCCTCCACAAAATATTTATAAATTTACAGTGGACGATGTGGGTTAATCGAGTGAGTTTTTAGGCGTGGTCCTTATAATTAAGAGAAGAAACCGCGACAAAAGGTACGTGGCTGTACCTAAGACTGGCTACTGAGCCCGGGCAGACCCTGGACTTAGTAAACAGTTATCGTAGGAACCTATGTCAGTGATAGGCTTTATCGGTGGCTACCATAAATTTGGTCGAGGCAGGGTTTGGTTACAGTAAAACTTGGGTAGCCCCTTGGATTTTTAATAATTTCTACGATGTAATTCGGGCAGACTCAGGTTTTTAATAAGTACTACGCTAAAACTCGGGCGGACCCAGGGCTTCAGTAATAACTACAGTAAAACTCGGGCAGACCCAGGGTTTTATTACTAATTACGGTAAAACTCGGGCGGACCCAGGGCTTTAATAATAACTACGATAAAACTCGGGCGGACCCAGGGTTTTATTACTAATTACGGTAAAACTCGGGCGGACCCAGGGCTTTAATAATAACTACGATAAAACTCGGGCAGACCCAGGGTTTTATTACTAATTACGATAAAACTCGGGCGGACCCAGGGCTTTAATAATAACTACGATAAAACTCGGGCGGGCCCAGGGTTTTATTACTAATTACGGTAAAACTCGGGCGGACCCAGGGCTTTAATAATAACTACGATAAAACTCGGGCGGGCCCAGGGTTTTATTACTAATTACGGTAAAACTCGGGCGGACCCAGGGCTTTAATAATAACTACGGTAAAACTCGGGCGGACTCTATTAACGGCCGATATGTTAGTTAATTACGCGTCGGGATTATGGTTCCGTTACGTTTGATCGATTCTCAGGTTAGGGTTATTATCACTTGTTATAATTAAATTATTTATTCAACGGGCTTAATTGAAGCGGGTCGAAGGTCAGAAAAAAGAATATACACACGTTGCCGAAATTATAATTTATTAATTTAGTCTTTATTCACTGTTGGCTTCTTTCGCCTATTCGTCTTGTTCACATGAGTTCACCAATCTTCGTTCTACAATTTTACGATCTAATCGCGTTTCTCGCTGCACCAGTAAAATTCTGCACGACTGTACCGTTTTGCTTACCGACTAAAACCACGTGGTCTCCTAATTGCGACTTATCTCGTTTTTTTAAGTACGACTATCCGGCTCCGATGCTCGCGTGTCAGTCCCTTGCGTTCCTTTTAATTTTGTTCTCGTGCCCTTGGCCTCTCCGATCTCACCATCCTCTTACCACGCAGTCGCAGTGGTGAAGTTCGATTTCGCGACTCCCTTTCTCCATTTGGCAACAGCAACTATTCTGCTCTGCCCGGCTCGCTTTTCGATATTCCCTCTCGCTCTCCGTTGTCGTCGACCGCGCAGTCGCTGAGGTGGGCTTTGCACTCCGTTCAAGTCGTTCAGTTTACTCCTCTCTCATGCTCTTTTTGGGGTGAATTCCTTAGGCAACTGCGTAGGAGTTGTTCCCGGTTTCGCCTCTCTTCCCCGCTCTCCTCTCTTCCCCGCTCTCCCCTCTCTTTTCCACTTATTAAATAATGTACTTATGTTTGTTTTTGCCTAGGCTTATTATGCTAATTATTAATTCATTGTTATACCCTTGCAGAGGGTATTATAATTTTGGTCAAAAGTGTGCAACGCAGTGAAGGAGACATCTCCGACCCTATAAAGTATATATATTCTTGATCAGGATCACCTCCTGAGTTGATATAGCCATGTCCGTCTGTCCGTCTGTCCGTCTGTCCGTCTGTCCGTCTGTCCGTCTGTCTGTCCGTCTGTCTGTTTCTACGCGAACTAGTCTCTCAGTTTTAAAGATATCGAATTGAAACTTTGCACACACCCTTCTTTCCTTTGCACGCAGTATATAAGTCGGAACGGCCGGGATCGGCCGACTATATCCTATAGCTGCCATATAACTGATTGATCGGAAATGCCATAACTCTGCTGTTTGTTAGGTTAGGAAGTTGGGACTTTCTATGGGTTTTATATTTGGCCAATCAATCCGACGTACCAAATTTCATAAGGATCGGCCGACTATATCTTATAGCTGCCATATAACTGATTGATCGGAAATGCCATAACTTTGGTGTTTGTAAAGTTAGGAAGTTGGGATTTTCTATGGGTTTTATATTTGGCCAATCAATCCAACGTACCAAATTTCATAAGGATCGGCCGACTATATCTTATAGCTGCCATATAACTGATTGATCGGAAATGCCATAACTTTGGTGTTTGTTAAGTTAGGAAGATGGGATTTTCTATGGGTTTTATTTTTGCCTAATCAATCCGACATATCAAATTTCATAAGGATCGGCCGACTATATTCTATAACTGCCATATAACTGAACGATTGGAAATGCCATAACTTTGGTGTTTTTAAAGTTAGGAAGTTGGGATTTTTTATGAGTATTAAGAATGCATTATGAATGATTTTGGAGAATATAATTTGCAGAATATTCTGCAAGGGTATTTCAACTTCGGCTCCGCCCGAAGTTAGCTTTCCTTTCTTGTTTTTCTCTTAAAGCTAAAAAATCAAAGGAATAACAATAATATTAATAATAAAAAAAACGCATATTTCCTCCTCCCCTCCGTGGGGATCGGGAATAATTGTGGCGGCATCGGAATCGCCGTCACAATCATATGAATAATTTTGGAGAATATAATTTATGGAATATTCTGCAAGGGTATATCAACTTCGGCTCCGCCCGAAGTTAGCTTTCCTTTCTTGTTATACCCTTGCAGAGGGTATTATAATTTTGGTCAAAAGTGTGCAACGCAGTGAAGGAGACATCTCCGACCCTATAAAGTATATATATTCTTGATCAGGATCACCTCCTGAGTTGATATAGCCATGTCCGTCTGTCCGTCTGTCCGTCTGTCTGTCCGTCTGTCCGTCTGTCTGTTTCTACGCAAACTAGTCTCTCAGTTTTAAAGCTATCGAGTTGAAACTTTGCACACAGCCTTCTTTCCTTTGCACGCAGTATATAAGTCGGAACGGCCGGGATCGGCCGACTATATCCTATAGCTGCCATATAACTGATTGATCGGAAATGCCATAACTTTGGTGTTTGTAAAGTTAGGAAGTTGGAATTTTCTATGGGCTTTATATTTGGCCAATCAAGCCGACCTACCAAATTTCATAAGGATCGGCCGACTATATCTTATAGCTGCCATATAACTGATTGATCGGAAATGCCATAACTTTGGTGTTTGTAAAGTTAGGAAGTTGGGATTTTCTATCGGTTTTATATTTGGTCAATCAATCCGACCTACCAAATTTCATAGGGATCGGCCGACTATATCCTATAGCCGCCATATAACTGATTGATCTGAAATGCCATAACTTTGGTGTTTGTTAAGTTAGGAAGTTGGGATTTTCTATGGGTTTTATTTTTGGCCAATCAATCCGACCTACCAAAGTTCATAAGGATCGGCCGACTATATCTTATAGCTGCCATATAACTGAACGATTGGAAATGCTATAACTTTGGTGTTTTTAAAGTTAGGATGTTGGGATTTTTTATGAGTATTAAGAATGCATCATATGAATAATTTTGGAGAATATAATTTACAGAGTATTCTGCAAGGGTATATCAACTTCGGCTCCGCCCGAAGTTAGCTTGCCTTTCTTGTTTTTAATTGATTTTAAAGGAGAAAGTGTTTGAGTGCTCCGCTTGAAAAAAAAGGACTTGTAATACTTTTATAAAATCAGGTTTTCTGCGAAGGCATCCTTGAACACTTTTATTTTGTTTTAATCCTAAATCCTAGCATTTTAAATTTATTTAAACAAATATCTTAATTGTTAGCAGCAACGTCTGGTCTTGAAATTCTAAAGGTTTTTGGGGTTTGACGCTGACGTCGATATTTCTCCCTTCCCCGCTTTTGCGCCGTAAATTTGACCAAACATATTATGTTCAGTGCCAGTCGAATTTCCTAATTTATTTAATTTTTTTTTATAGGTTGCAAAGAGATGCCAAGAATCAACAAGTTCGAAACGAAATTCTGGATTGCCCAATAGCGAAAATGGTGACGGAATTCCAATGGTTTGGAAAGTTAAGAGACGCCCAGACGGAACGAGATACATTGTAAAACGGCCAGTACGCACTGGCAACCGTCCCCAAGTTTCTAACCGAAAAAACATGCGCTGTAATGAGCTTACCACAACGGAAGAAGATACTGTATCTGAGGTCAAAATTGGTCGTTATTGGACAAAAGAAGAACGAAAGCGGCACATTGAACGAGCCAGAGAGAGGCGGCATCATCAAACGCAACAACAGCTGCAGTAAAATTTCCACTTATTCATTTAAGTATTAAATAGCTTTAACTACCGTTTTCGTAAATTGTATAGAGGAGAGGTCCACAGGTTGGGACCCCTTTTGATTTTGGTCTGCCATTTGGTAGCTAGCTTGTGAAAGCTATTTATTTAGCTTTAAATAAAAAGCAAAAATAAATTGTTCTCCTTTATGAAAAAAAAGTTCAATTTAAAAAAAGGTGATGCAGATTAGGGATAATTGAAAAATCGCCTTAATGCACTCCAATTTTTAGGAAAATATTTATTTTTGTTATTACTTCTAAAACTAAAAGGAGAAGCAGCCTTTTTTTTTTAATCATGAATGCCTTCAAAATAAGTGGCTCTACCTACACTTCTCAAGTTAAAATTTAATACAATTTTTTGACCATCAATTTAACACTTTTTCAGTACCTGGCTTAAGCTTGGCTTGAAATTCGTTTGGTAAAAGTTTAAGAGCCTTATATTAAACAAAATTGTTTTAGTAGACAAATTTGGAGAGGGTTGACAGGTTTAACTTACAGATTGTCCCAATTTATAGACCTCTCCCCTGTTTAATTTTAAAATTTTTAGTCGCTATCGTAAAACTTTCAAAGCTTGCTTGCTTGTCACGACTCACGAAACTTACGGAGATTATAAGATTTAAGTCTACGTAAGTGCATAATCAAGACTTATATTACTTCATCAAAAATTTTTGCTTAATAAATATGTAGATTTGATATTTTTTTTTATTTTCAATAGAACTCGTCCATTGTATAAGTTTTGACGATCTTTGACAAATAAAAATAAAAATAAAATCATTAATTTGAAATATGTCAAACAACTTTCAGCATATATATATTTCGTTGTCAATTGTTCCTAACTAGTTATTTGTTAAAGTAATCCCATCCATGCATACAGTCTTCGTTGATGCTAATGAATATGTATCGCATATAAATGCATATTACGTAATTTTAAAAATAATTTGTGTAAGCTTCAACATAATTCTTATATATTACGAATAATATTGTTTACTTAAAATAAAGTTTAAAAAATGTACAAGAGTTGAAAATATGTACTTACATATTTTTATACCCTTGCAGAGGGTATTATAATTTTGGTCAAAAGTGTGCAACGCAGTGAAGGAGACATCTCCGACCCTATAAAGTATATATATTCTTGATCAGGATCACCTCCTGAGTTGATATAGCCATGTCCGTCTGTCCGTCTGTCCGTCTGTCCGTCTGTCTGTCCGTCTGTCCGTCTGTCCGTCTGTTTGTTTCTACGCAAACTAGTCTCTCAGTTTTAAAGCTATCGAATTGAAACTTTGCACACACCCTTCTTTCCTTTGCACGCAGTATATAAGTCGGCCGAGATCGGCCGACTATATCTTATAGCTGCCATATAACTGATTGATCGGAAATGCCATAACTTTGCTGTTTGTAAAGTTAGGAAGTTGGGATTTTCTATGCGTGTTATATTTGGCCAATCAATACGACCTACTAAATTTCATAAGGATCGGCCGACTATATCCTATAGCTGCCATATAACTGATTGATCGGAAATGCCATAACATTGGTGTTTGTAAAGTTAGGAAGTTGGAATTTTCTATGGGTTTTATATTTGGCCAATTAATCCGACCTACCAAATTTCATAAGGATCGGCCGACTATATCCTATAGCTGCCATATAACTGATTGATCGGAATTGCCATAACTTTGGTGTTTGTGAAGTAAGGAAGTTGGGATTTTCTATGGGTTTTATATTTGGCCTATCAATCCGACCTACCAAATTTCATAAGGATCGGCCGACTATATCCTATAGCTGCCATATAACTGAACGATTGGAAATGCCATAACTTTGGTGTTTTTAAAGTTAGGAAGTTTGGATTTTTTATGAGTATTAAGAATGCATTATATGAATAATTTTGGAGAATATAATTTACAGAATATTCTGCAAGGGTATATTAACTTCGGCTCCGCCCGAAGTTAGCTTTCCTTTCTTGTTTTATAATGAATTCCCCTTTGCCTTGGAATGGAAGCTATAAGCCTTTACAATGACGCATTGAGACGAAATGGCCGATCTAGCTCCATTTAATTCAATTTTCAAATTGTGCATTCGCGGTAAATTAAGCCAACGAACGTGTCTTCACACCATCTGTCCAAACCCTTCGGAAACTTTAAACCGACCATCTGGTAGATGTAATTTCTTATTTAGACTATTGTTTCTGTAAACTGATAATAAACCATGTTGTTAATTTTTATCTAGAATAGACCTAAGTAAATATCCTTGTAACCCCAATTCATGTACAGTTGCGAAAAAAATAATAGCACCACTACATCGCACTGCTTTCACTGTAAAATAAGTTAGTTTGCTGTTATTGTTTTGTTTTTTTAATTATTTTTTTTTTAAGGTTTAGTATTGTTGTAGTCTAAAACAAAGTTTCCGTTTTTTTTTTTAGTTTTTTACCAACAAGTTAGAAAAACAGCGTAAAAAAATAGCACCACTTACAAGTTACTTAGAGAAAATCTTATATTTCGCCCAACAGCCTTAATAGAAAGTACCTGCTGATAAGATTGGACTATTTTTTACCTATTTTGTTTAAAAAAAAATCAAAAACAGCACTGCGGAAAAGCGTAAACTTCTTAAAAAATTGATTTTAGAAGGAAATTCTTACACAAATGTTGGTCGATTGGTAGGATGCTCCAATAAAATGATTAGGAACGCCATAAATCATAAGAAAAAATCCAAAACACGTGGAAGAAAACGATATGTAACACTTTGACATGCCAAAATGTTGATTCATAAGAGTAAGAAGGATCCTTTCAAGTCTGCTACTGAGCTTAAAATGGATCCTAAAATGAATGCGACAGATGAAACAATTCGCAAGTGTCTCAGACAACATAACTTAAAAGCCTGCAGTCCCAGAAAGGTTAACACTTTTAAATGCCAGGCATATTGCTAAGCGCATAAAGTTTGCCAAGAACATGTTAATTGGCTACTTTAAAAATGGAGGAATATCTTATGGTCAGATGAGAGTAAGTTCGTTCTGATGTTAGAAAAGGATCTCGATCGTACGTCAGGCGTCCCAAAAACTCTTATTTTATGTCGCAGTGCACCACAAAGACCATAAAACATGGAGGGAGTAGTCCAATACATTGGATTAAAACCATACTGGATCAGGACGTGTACGCAAATATTTTGGACACGATTACGCTACCCTTTGCAGAGTACGAAATGACACTCGTATGGGTTTTCCAACAAGATAATGACCCCAAACATACCAGCAGAAAGGCAAAGGATTGGTTCGGAAGAAACTCTGTCAATGTGTTGAAGTGGCCTGCGCAGTCGCCTGACCTTAATCCAATAGAGTATCTGTGGTCCGATGTCAAGAAGGCAGTTGCTGCATCCAAGCCAACCACCGTAATATCACTTTGAAAAGTAGTGGAGGAGTCTTGGACTCATATTCCCACTAAACGGTGCCAGTACCTGGTTGACGTTGTGAGGCTGTTATTGCCAATAATGGATGTATAACTAAATAGTAAATAAAGAATCTACACTTTATTTGGATATATAAATATAGAAAACTCATGAATTTTTTACTAACTAGTCGTTGTTATAGTTTTAAATCTATTTTTGAAAAGTGGTGCTATTATTTTTTCGTCAAATTTCTTTAGTTTCAATAAAATATCTAACATATCTTAAGAAATTAAATTTTTTTTTTACATTTCCCGTTGGTTTATTGTATTTCGATTTCAAAATGGTATTAAACGTTTTCATAGTGTAAAAAGTATAGGTACAGTGACCGTTTTAACATAGCTTGAGTAGCTGGTGATATTATTTTTTTCATAGCTGTATATAAGCCCGGATTCACTTCTCCGCAGCACAATTTGTTCTGTACTTGTTGCGACGACTTTTGCAAATGTGCTGTACTTGCGGCGCGCAAAAAAATATTTTCAGCTAACAGATTTCGGAAGAAATCCGACAATTGGGACTCCAATTTGAACCGGTATTATCGATCAACGAAATTTGGTAGAAATTTGAACCATATATTTTGCTCAAATAAAATTTCCTATTGATCCTGCTTCATGAATCACAAGTGTGATTTAAAAAAAAATTGAATTAGCTTGGCGATTAATTTGTTAACAAAAAAATAATAATATTGTTGGTCAACTAGGCTACCAAACTATTTTTGCTGTCTTCAACTATTGATAGTCAGCATAAAATTAGTCTTTAACGGTCAACAAGGCGACCAAAGACGGTAAAAACCAACAACTTTAGGTATGCGATCAACTTGGCGATTAAACCTTCTAAACCTCTACGTTGGTTCTGATCAACCAGGCGATTTGAACCAGACCAGATTCCTCTGATCGATCTGTTTAAAGCTAGGTTACATATTTACAACCCATCGGAATGGGTCGAGGCTCATAACAAAATACCTCTAAAACGGATTATACAAGAAAAGTTAAAATGGCACCGAACAGCTACATCAGTTGTAAAATGAAGAGATATCAGTAGGATTGCAAATTCAGAATGTCATTCGGAATTATAGAAATGACTCAGTGCTGACAACTTTTTAAAAAAAGCTGTTTTTAACTGGAGAGAAAGAAAAAAAGCTGAAAATAATCCGAAAACAGCGCATACAATTTTTTTTTTGTTTTTAATCTTTTTTAATTTTGTTATTTATAACATATTTAGCAAGTCAGCTAATTCGTCGCGACTATCATTAGTTTCGCTATCGTACGACATGTTTGTTCAGATCTTGCAGTAGCTGCAAGTCAGTGTCATCGCTGCGAAGTCATGCCTTGCATTCGTCGCTTTTCAACCAAACATTACTGCACTTTTGCTCATACTTTTTGTGCAAAGACATTAGAATATATATAGATTAAATTGGTCTTTGCTTTGGGCATTGTGTAATACGTGTAGATCACCACTTACGCGTTTTATATTGTGATGGTAGTTTAACGTAAAAAAGTATTGGCAAATATCGACAGGAACATATGATAATGTTGCCACTTCTGTACACATTTGGTACATTTGTACGAAAACTGGTAGGTGTTACCGCGTTAGTACACTTTTTATCCACAGCTTCATAAAAATTGTATTTATACCCGTTACTCGTAGAGTAAAAGGGTATATTGTATTCGTGCAAAAGTATGTAACAGGTAGAAGGAAGCGTTTCCGACCCTATAAAGTATATATATTCTTGTTCAGGATCACTAGCCGAGTCGATCTAGCCATGTCCGTCTGTCTGTCCGTCCGTATGAACGCTGAGATCTCGGAAACTATAAAAGCCAGAAGATTGGCATTTTGCATGTAGATTTTAGGAGTTCCTACGCAGCGCAAGTTTGTTTCAAAATGGTGCCACGCCCCCTCTGACGCCCACAACCCACAAGCTGTGGGCACAGTTTTGATGATATTATGAAAATTTTTATTGATTAAATTTTTTTATGAATTAAAGTTTTTATTAAAGCCTAGAGATATTATCAACTACCTTAGCAAGACAAGTCTGCCGCTGTACAAAGAAATTAAAAAAACAATACCATTTAAATTTAACAGTTGTGTTTTTTTTTTTTTTTAATTTACTGATAATTATTTGCTAATTTAAAGTTCATAGCATCATAGAAGTGCGCGTTTAACTGCTTGTCAACAAACCCAGCTGATTGACAGTATGACCGCAGCACGCTTAAATTTGATGAACTCTCGAAATTTTGGTCACACTGGAAAGATTACGCGAGCATAATCGTTTGGCGATCTGAGTACTAGGCTTAATAAATAAAATTGATCTACATTTTTGTCTTAAGCGCACGTCCTCGGTCCTAAATTATCTGTCCTTATTTAGTACAGCCTAGTACTCAGATCGACAAACGAGTTCGCGAGCGTGAAAACTTTAATCTTTCCAGTGTGTCTGCATTTTCAAGAGTTCATCAGAATTAAGCGTACCACGGTCGTACTGTCAATCTGGGTTTGTTGAGAAGCAGTAAATATTCAAAAATGGTATTTGCGGGAAGCCTTTCAAAGATATTATCAACTACCTTGACAAGATTATTAAAAAAAACAATACA